CACACACACACACACACACACACACACACACACACACACACACACACGCACAAAGTATGTATGTATATATATATATGTATGTGTGTGTGTATATATATATGAATACTATAAGAGTTATAGGAACTCAGAAAATGTATTGTTTTCTCTAGTGTGTGTATATATGTCTATGTACGTCTATATATGTGTGTATTGTAGGTACATGTGTATATGTATGTCATGCTACATATACAATATATCATAAAATGTGTCATATAGTATATATATACTATGTATATAGCACACATATAATATATACTTAGTATGTATGGATGTGCATGTATATATATGTCTATATGCTCTATTTTTATATATCTCATATACATACATATACATTAAAAATCCACGTAAACAAAAAATCTTGGTGGTGGGTAAGGTTCTCAATCATTTTTAAGGGTATATGGAACAGCTAGGTGGTGCAGTGCCCTGGGGTCAGAATCAAGGTAACCCTGGAGTCAGGAGGACCTGAGTTCAATCCTAGCCTCATATATTTACTAGCTGTGTGACTCTGGGCACGTCACTTAATTCCAATTGCCTCCAAAAAAAATAAAAAAGAGTATAAAGGGGACATGAGACCAAAAAAGTTTGAGAACCACTAGTGAAGTGGAAAAAAATAATCAAATTTGGTTCGAGAACTTAAATTCAGTGCTTGGCTCAGCCACTTGCTATTTGTGTGACCTTGGGCCAGTCACTTCCTCCTTGGGTGTCAGTTTCTTTATCTGTAAAGAAAGCTGTACTGATCAATCTCTAAATAATTTTCCACTCTACAGTCTATGTAATTTCCTCCATATATACTCAATGCTTCAGTCATCAGGACTGATAAGTAAAATATCAGGTAGGGTAGAGTGATCCAAAGTACTCTAGGAAAATATCATGGAATCACAGAATATGAGAGTTGGACCTCAGCAGTCATTTAGTTCAACCTATAGCTGAAAGGCAGTCCCATTAGCAACAACAATAACAATAGCTAGCTACCACTTACAAAATGCTTTAAGGTTTGTAAAGCACTTTACATATGTTAACTCATTTGATCCTCACAATAACCTTAGGAGGGAGGTGCTATTATGAACCCCACTTTAGGAAAGGACACTTTGATTTGTCCAGCATCACCAAACTAATGTTTAAGGCAGAATTTGAACCTAGGTCTTTTTGATTCCAAGTCCCATGCTCTATCCCCTGTACCACCTAGTGGCTCCAAACAAGTGGTCATCTTGCCTCTATTTGAAGATCTCTAGTAAAGGGGATCAGTTATCTTATAAGGCAGCCCATCTAATTGTTAGCAAGATTTTCCTGAGGTCAGGCTATATTATTGCCCCCTTTTAACTACCAACCATTGTACCTGTTCTGGACCTGTAGGGCAAAACAGAAAAGTCTACCCTCTTAGCCATGATAGCCTTTCAAATACTTAAAAATAGCTACCATGACCTCCCTGAGTCTTCTTTTCACCAAGACAAACATCTCCAGGTCCTTCACAGACTCAAAGCCCTTCACTATCCTGGGTGTCCTTCTCTGGATGCTCTCCAGTTGATCAATGTCCTTTTAAAGCTTCTATTGCCTAGAATTGGGCATTTAAGGTTAGAGAGTATCATCTCCTTATTCCTGGAGGCTGTGTCTCTCTTAATATAATCCAAAATTTTGTCAGCTGTCTGATCACACTGCTGAATCACGTGGAGTTTGTGGTCCTTTGAATCAGTCAGGGCAGCAAGATGGAGCCACAGTACACAGAGGACCAGGCCTGGAGCAAGGAAGACTCATCTTCCTGAGTTCAAATCTGTCCTCCTGAGTTCAAATTTTTCTTCACACGTCCTAGCTGTGTAATCCTGGGCAAGTTACTTAACCCTATTTGCTTCAGTTTCCTCATCTGTAAAATGAGCTGGAGAATTGCTAGATGTATGTCCAAAGACATCCAAAAAAATGGAAAAGGACCTATTTGTACAAAAAATATTTACAGCAAATCTTTTTGTGGTGGCTAAGAATTGGAAATCAAAGGGATGACCATCAATTGGAGAATGGCTAAACAAGTTGTGGTATATGATTGTAATGGAATATTATTGTGCTATAAGAAGTGACAAGCAGGATGATCTCAGAAAAACTTGGAAAGACTGGAATGACTGAAAAGACTGAAAAGAAAATGAATTGGTGAATTGAAGTGAACAGAACCAGGAGAATGCTGCAGGAAGAACTAACTGTGAATGACTTATCTATTCTCAGCCAATACAATACAATCTAAGACAATCCCAAAGGACTCACTATGAAGCATACTATCCGCCTCCAGAGGAAGAACTGATATTGATTGAATAGACTGAAGCGTGCTATTTTTCACTCTTTCATTTTTTCTTTTATTTGAGTCTTCTTGTACAAAATGACTAATATGGAAATGTTTTACATAATTGCACATGTATAACCTAAAAAAAAAAAATGAGCTGGAGAAGGAAATGACAAACCACTCCAGTATCTTTGCCAAGAAACCCCAAATAGGGTCACCAAGACATGACTGAACAACAACAA